CTGGTTGTGTGTGTGTCCGCAAATTAAGGGGTTTGATTGGTTGATTGATAAAAACAAACATTTGCTCCGAAAATACCATTGTCGGTGATAAGTCCTTCGGACCTTAAGTGGTTTCCATTTATCTAGTTTAACTTAGAACTACATTAAATGAAGTAAAATGTTAGTCCAATACCGTTCAAAAGTTTGAGACACTTGAAGAACAAGTACCCCAGTGATAACATCATTTGCTTACCAGCACTAAACAAATTAGCCTAAACTAATCTATCACCTAACCCTAGGTATTTGTCCTTCAATCTTCCCAAAAGTTTTAACAAAATAAAATAAAGTCTAAAAAAAAAAAAAACTTGGTTGCGGAAAATATGGGGTTGAGTCAAAGCATATGTTTTTTAATAAGTTTTTTTAAAACTTTAAACAAGGATAACTTAACAAAAACTTAATCAAATTAAACTTCAATAACATATTATTCAACCAACGCTAATTCTTTTTTGAATATTACGGTATTAGGGTGATGCTCTAAAAACATTGCCGCAAATTAATCAGTGAGAAGAAAAAGAACTATTTTCTTAGTAAGAGATTATAAAAAAGCATGGCTGTTCTGGAAACTAAGCTAAATTTGGCGAAAATGCTAAAGAACTTTTCAATGTTATAGATTGTGAATAGTTATCGAGTGTAAAAGAAGGCTAAGAACTAAAAAATAATACATACACACATACATTAATTTGCACACAACGTGACTAATCGTGATAAACATATAGTTGACATTAAACATTCTAGACTTGTTTATATAAGATTATTTACAAATTGCACTTTTTCCAGTAAATATTTAATAGAATTTTCTATAATAAATAAAAACACAAAATGATCAGAAGTTTTTATGATTATCAGCTTGATATTTTTTGCTGATTTTTTTTTTCTTTTTAGGAGCATTTTTTGACTTAAGATAATATCTTGGGTCGCGTTAACAGTGATGTGCATTGCCACTGATCAGCCACGCACATATGTGAGCGGAAGTGGCCGTTCACATTATTGTCTTTATACTCCTTTACTTTTTCATGTCTATCTTATTAGTTTATATCATATTATGTAGTTATTATTATTATTATTATTACCTTTTCTTCCGTTTTGTACTTTGACTGATTTGTCCTTTCTTCGTGCCATTTAAGAAGATTCAATCCATCGGTTATAGCAACTTGGTTTCTGGTGAGCACAAGAGTATTATGTTGAGTTAGGAGGTCTTTGTTCCAATGAATAATTAACTCCATAAGCGCGGCTAAAGTCTGAGGTTGGAATGTAAAATTTTCCATTTCTTTCTTTCTTTTTTTTTGTTCTTTTGGTACAGTATGAAGTGGAAAAATACTAATAGTATGTCGATCAATTTTTATGAAATTTTTATCAATTTTTTAGTGTAACACCCGAAAATATGACGTGACAATCAAAACAACAATCGCTCTTTTTTGAAAAGTCACATTTAACATAAAAACTCGTCTAAGAAATCACTTTTTGGAAAAATTCCTTGCAAAATTTTAGTATAATGTCACCTTCTAACCCGTCACTAACCACTCACTAACCCTAACCAAGATATCACGTTTTAAAAGCACGTCCGTAATCTGTGACAGGTTAAGCCACTAATTTCAATCACCGTCTGATTATATTCCCAGCGTAAGATTTTACTTTTTTTGAATGAAGATAACTCAAAAGATCAAAAGAGCTGAATTCTTCTTTCTTCCATATTATTTATTCATGAACTCATGTTTTCTCAGCACTTTTGATTGAACGGTCGTGACTAAAATCATAAAGAAAAGTATTCGGAAGATTTTATTTTTGTTACATTATACTGATCTTTGAGTTTATCTAATAAAGTGATGCCGGAAATATCGTTCTCTTCCAGTTCTTAATTCCGATTTATAAGTTTTTTAAAATATATCCAAATTTTATAACTTGCAAGGCATTTGAAGAACCTTTCATATTAAAAAAATTTTTTTTATAAACTTTATTAAAAAAATTGTTCTCTTTTAAGTCTTATTAGAAGTCGGTAGGGTTATTTAAACTTTTACTTTGCTTACTTTTCTAATTTAGATAAAAAAAATTAATTTATAAATAAGCCTTTTTAAATTACAATAGCTTTTTTAAGGCATAGTTTTTTCAGTTGTTACAGAATTTAATTTGTGGTAAGAAATTCGTATGATTGGCTAAATTTACGCCTAATCAACTTTAGTCTAATCCTCATCTAACAAGGTTAATAAGTTTAAATACGTAGTAAATATTAATAACGATAAGCATGAATATGCTTATTTAAATACTGTACTTGGATAAACCAATGCTCTTTATAAATTAATAATGATTCATGAACTTAAATAGCTAATTATATTAATCAATGAATCAATGTTCCAACTAAATTAACGCGAATAAATGAAGTGGAAAATATTGATGAACTTGTATATCTCAGTGTTTTTTATACTCACTATATATCTAAAATAAAATTATAAATGATAAATATAATAAACTTGAAAATATAGTATACTCACTACTAAATTATCGCGATAAAACAAAGTTAAAAAATTTATAGAGTTACTATGCCCATTAGAAACCTTGTATTATTCAATCTATATAATTTAAAGTAGCAGCTAGAGCTACACTGCACGTTACTACACTATGTAAGGCCACGCAAAGTTAATTTTTCATTTAACATTACATGGAATTTGAAAATTGGGTCGGTTGATCGATTTTTTTTTTTTTTTTAAAAAAATAAAAATCTACTTTAAATTAATAGAATTATGTTCATATTTTAAGGCTACGCAAAGTTAATCTTTTTTGAATTAGAAAATTGGGTTAGCAATCGTTTTTCTGTTGGTCCTATCGGATAATTTCGGGATGTCAAGGTCTCCATCGGATGATACAAAAAAATAGAAAATTGGTCGGCGGCTAATGTTAAACGAAAAATTAACTTTGCGTGGCCTAATATAACGACCTGTAATAAATTATACATAACCGGTTAATCCGGTTAATTTATTCCATTTAGACTATGTCCAAACAAACAACAAATAAAAATTTTATTTATTTACACATATTTGCGTCTGTCTAGGGTTGTGGGCATGGTGACTCAGGGCATGCCTTAGGGGCATGCCTAGGTGCATGCCCTTGAACCAAAAGGCATGCCCTTATCATGTAATAATAAATGAATTAGAGTGTACTGATTGGCTATTTATTTTACACACTAGTGGATATTTTATTAGTTATAATAATAATACAGTAATAGTATAGTATATGAGTGTGAGTAAAAAGTCCTTGATAGAACTTTTTATCATCTCTGCTAATGTTATAAATTTTTTATACTTGTATATAATTTTGGAATCAATTGGCATAATTAAATAACAACTAAGATACATTATTTAGTGATTAGCAAAAATGTTCTCTAGAGACTTTTCATCTACCTGGTATATATACAGGGGCCCTGGGCACAATAAGAAGGGCATGCCTCAGCCTGAGGCATGCCTCCTGGGGCATGCCTAAAAAATTTTCTGTGCCCACAACCCTACGTCTGTCCCGTGATACTAGGAAAAAATAATAACTAGTTTTATATTAAATAATTATACCAAACCAAATAATTTTTATAAATTAATTCAAATAATGTTTTTTATTGTACAACTTTCTTTATCTGATAAGTTACACTAAGTTATTTACATAGTAGCTTGGTCAAATTTAAAATATAATAAATTATAATTTTTAATTTTTTTAAAATATTAAAATTAACATTTTTCTTTTAAATAAGCAAATTAATAAAATGTTTTAAAATTAAAAATGTTAATTTGACTACTAGTACTTTTAAATTCAAAATTCGCTTCAGCGTATTAATATCCATACCACCATTAATGACATCACCAATATAGTGAAGTAATCAGGTTTTAATTAACATTCTTTCGAAGAGTGAAATAACCTTGTTGCAAAATTTCTTTTGCAAGCTCTCTTATTAATACAGCTGGATCTTCTGCACTCATTTTAATAATGATTTCAAATAACCCATAACGCTTAATGACATCTTCACGTTGTGGATGTACATCACATATAGATTTTAGAATACGAAGTAAATTCAACCTCACAACAGGTTTCGGATGTCCAAATCTATGTAATAAACGATCGAAAAACGATGGTTGCGCTAGAACACAAGTCACAGGAGCAGATAATTGTGTTATCATGTATAATGGTTCAAGAATATTTTCGAAAGAGTTTGCTTTGGCAACAACAAATGATTCTAGGATTAATTCTATATTGTTTTGTTGTAAAAGAATTGGTTCTACACGGGAGGTCTCTTCCTGGAACCATGAAAGAATAGCCTCAAAAGCACTAACTTGCCAAGATCTATCAACCAATAAATTAAGATAGAGTTGCAAAACATCATTCTGCCACAATAAATCACGACAACTTTGTCCCGTGTGAGCCATTTCACAAAGAATTGGAATCGCGAAATGTCTGAGTGGTGTATTATTTGATGCAAAATGCACCAAATGAGGAATAAGCCCAGCCCTTGCTGCCTCTTCTTGTCGCGATTTATCGATTCGACAAAGGTTGAACATTGTGTGGAGCACTTGATTGGAAATTTCAGTGACGTACGATGGAACTTGATTATCCAACAACTCGGTGAGAATTTGAATCGCCTTTGCTTTTTGTAAAGAATCCAATGTAATTGAATTCATGGAGATATTCTTGATACATTTGAGCACTATTACAATTAAATACGATGGTAATTTGTACAAGTCTTCAAAAATCCGAGTAACAACCCGTGTACGTGTAGCCATAAATTCTTTTACATAAGCGTCACCTCGAGAAAACATTAAAAAGATATTAACAATTCTATCCACAAATATTTTAGCAGAGAGATCGTCATCCATTATAACATTATGTAGGGTAATGGCCAACGGATCCAATACTCCAATTTTTGCAAGCAATCGACAAAAGTCATTCTTAGGAGTCGGACTTTGGAGTTCAAAAACACCATAGATTCCATTAACGGCGATCCAAATCAGTTCCTTATGTTTAGTGTACTCTTCTTGTAAAAAATCAACAAAAATCCTTAATCCTTGACACGATATAAACATTTGTAGGATAATGGGCGATGTATGACAAATCTGTCTGATAAATATTGCAGCTTCGACTCTAATTTCATATGGATATCTTTTTGAAGTGAAGCTCATTATTATCGGAATACCACCTACAAGGCAAAGATTTTCTTGAAGATCAATGTTATCTGCAATAATTATATTAACTATTTTTAGCAATTTTGAAAGCAAGTCTGCATTAGCACATATTTCCAATACTTCCGTGATAGGAATTACACCATGAAAGATTATAAAGTGATTCTTAAGCTCTTGATGTTCTGTTAAGAGATCAATGATTTGAACGCATGAACTTATCAATCGATCTTCGCTTTCGGTTGGTTGTAAAAGATTTAGAAGCTCTGCCAATCGTGAACATGCATTTGCATATTTATCTCTAGCAATGTGTGCTTCCATGTCCATCTCATCAAATTTTTCCTCTAGTTCAGCAAATGGATCATCTTCATCACTGCTATCATCACCTTTCCAACTTTCATTATAAAGATGTGCATTAAACTTTAATGTATGAATCACACCATCTTCTTCTTCATCAGAATCTCGAAATGCTTTATTATAATCTTGTTCATCTTCTGATTCTTGATATTGTTGGAATTCGTTTAACTCCTGATATTCCTGTTGCACAGAAGTTGACACTCGAGACGAACTAATCACAATCTTATTGGATACCTGATAATTAGGTATATCAATTTGAGGTTTTCTTGATGATGAAGATGGTGTAGACATTGTTAATGATATTGATTTTTGTGTTGGTAAAGGTGGAAGTGGTCTATATGGTCTCTTTGTTATTTCATTAGTTGGGACTGGTACATCATTGGTGGTATACGCACGAATATGTCGCTTAAATTCATCCGTGATTTGTTTTTCATCAAGAGCACCATTAGTTTCCGTAGTCGATGATTCTAGAGTCGAACTAGAGTTATTCACTGATTTTGAAAGTAGATGAATTACAGTGTCCTGTACATATTCCCAACCATTAGGTTTATTTTTGAATCCATTAGTTTCGGCATCTACTATGTTATCTTCTGTTATTATTTGTTTTCCGGGATCCTTCAGAACAGAATGATTATTTTTTATCTGACCATTAATGAATTGATTTGGTCGAACAGTTTGAGAATCATCATCAGAAGATTCGTAATCCGGTTGTTGGTCTTGAATGTCAGCATTAGAAGATTTAATACTTAACTGCCTGATTTTAATATCAGTGATTTGATAAAGAGATATCGAATCCACAAAATCATTATCCCAATTATTTCCTTCAACTTCAGCCTGTTCAAGAAACGCAGATAACCGATTATTTTGTTGATTTAATGAATTTGACATTAAACTTGAAGAACACATTAAGTTTTCCCAACTATTAACAGGAGGCGTAAAATCGGGTATTTTTGGTGATAAAGAACTCGAACTAAGAGGAGATTTTGATTTTGAAGGCATAGTAGCAGATAGTTTTATAGAACCACTTCTTCGTTTTTTATGATTTTCAAATTTTGCGTCCTTTAAAGCCTCATTCCATTCTTTTACACTTCTTATAGCGTCTTCAAATTCAGTAGCTACATTTGGTTTACGAACATTAGAGATCCAAGAATGTTTTAGTAATTTTCTCGCAGACACACGAAGGTTACTATCCTTTTGAAAGCATTGCATAAGAAAGTCTTTAACAGCAGGTGAAGCACTTTCCGGTAAAGGAGGATGTTCATCTTCAACAATTCGAAAAAGAGCAGGCATTGGCTCTAAATTATGATAAGGAGGTTTTCCTTCTAAAAGTTCAATAACAACACAACCAACACTCCAGATATCAGAAGAAGTGGTAGCGCCAGATAATTCAATTATTTCTGGAGCCATCCAATATGGAGAACCAACCACTGAAAAATCACTAATATTTGCAGTTTTCGTAGCAACACCAAAATCTGCTAGTTTCACTAAACCTTCTTTTGTGGTTAATATATTTGCGCCTTTTATATCGCGATGTATAACACCTTGGTCGTGAAGGTATAGTAAACCTTCCAAAACTTGACTAATATAGATTGCAACGAGATTTTCTGGAAATTTTCCAAACTTTTTACAGACATTAAGTAAAGAGCCATTTTCACAAAATCTGAGAATTAAATAAATTTAATATACCGTTATACCATTTTTTAAATAATCGATATACCACAGATTTTTTGCACTTACTCTAATATTATATTTAAATAATCGTCTGCCTTAACATAACCTTTATATTTTACAATGTTTGGATGCTATAAATTTAAAAACAAGGGAAATAAAGTCATGTAAATATATGGTTGTAGTATACGGTTTGGTTAATAAATAAATTTCCAAGTATAAGATGACCCCCATTACTTACGTTTAAATTTTTTAATAATTCAATTTCAGACTATAATATAAAAAGCGCGATCATTGGATTACTATTTTTTTTTAGATCGAAAAAAATAATAAAAGAACCATAAGTGAAAGCTTACCATTATAAAAGTTAGTTCCGATTTTTGTAAATCGCTGATCTTCACTTGTTTAATTGCCACTGCTTCACCAGTTTCCATATTCAAAGCTTTGTAGACAGAACCGAAAGAACCTTTGCCGAGGCATTCTTTGCTTAGTTGCTGTCATTTATTATTATTTTTTAAATATATATATTATAAAAATAACCATAATAACAATAATGATAAACATCATAATTAGATCATCGACTCAGTCTTTTAGAAATGAATTAACTGTGAATGGATTGAGAGACGCTTACATAATTTTTAATTGACCCCATCTTCTTCTTTCTAGTGTAAATTAATTCACTTTCATTTACAAGTAAGAATTTTGTACTGGAAAGTCAAAATAAAAGTATTTGAATATTAATAAGAGGGCACTATAAGTCAAAAGAAAATATTAAAAATTGATATATAAGAAATTAAGAACTCTAAGACACGAAGGAAAGGACGCAGTATACAATGATAATTTGGATATCAATAAACGGAGGTAAGTGTGAATCAATGTTAGGATTGATGAAAAATAATTGGAATTTAAAGATGCAAAAATAAAAAAAAGTTCGAAATAAGATTTACGTTGAAAAAAAAAGGATAAAAAAAAAAGAAGGTTCTAAAATTATTTTCTGGTTAAATTTATCCGAATTCTGAATTTTCGAATCGGTATAGTTTAATAATTTTTTATTTGAAAGATCATTTTAATTAAATATGAGGAGTAAGGGGAAGAAAAGGTGACGACGAGCATTACACGAATCGAGAAATGTTTGACGATCAACTTAACTTTTTACGGCACATGCAATAACACCATATAAATCAAGCGGTTGATCGAAAATAAGGGGGTTGGGAACTAAAAATAAAGGGTTACATACAGTTATTTGTACAGTATTAAATTTGTAAATATAATGAATATATAAACAAGGAAACTTTCATGAAAGAAAATAAATTCAGTAGTCACATGATTTAAGTTGTAGACGTTAATTAAACTTATATTATAATATTGTTCTCCAATTCACGAATGAAAAAGCTTTTAATAACTGTGATACGTAGCTTTAATAACTGTAATAATGTTATAACTGTGATATAAGGCAAACTCGTAAATGAATTCATAAAGTAACGAAGGTGGTTTGAAATTTTATATCATGAGTTTTGTCTTGCTAGTATATTAGAATCATGGTATATAAGAATGTTTATGGTCTAATTTTGGTATAGTAATAGAGAATTTATTTAGTCAGTTGCCGTAGTTGCAATGCATTTAGTATTACTCTTGAAAAATTCAGGGTCATAGAGATATGAAGGATACATACGTACGCATAAGCCAGTCAAAAAAATCCAATTCGTTGACATTGTCTTAAAAATTCGAGTTCTAAAATTCTCAACTCTTCTTATAATTATTATGAATACTTATATAATAAGTATACCTTTTATGGCTAGATCTTTCTAAATGTAAACTTTAAGAAAGTGCATATCAGCTGATAAGAAATCGAAGTTTTCTGAATGTTTGAATATCTAGTATAGGTAAGTCAAATACTAGCAAAATAACTGTTCCTATGACAATTATAAAAAAAATGACGTACTCAACATATTTGTTTTCTTCAATAGGATGTGATGATAGTACAATTGCACCTTGGCTGTTCAGGGTAGGCAGCATGTATTTGGTAACTTGCGTATGGATATTATTCATTTATAAACATACCTAAGCCAAATCGCCCAGAATGCCAACACTGACCAACTCACAAGAAATAAATCTATTAACCACTGAGCCTATAATAAGTTCGCCCAAATAAAATATAACAATAAATTCTGTGCTTGTATGGAAGCAACTTCTGTGTTAATTTGTGTAATTCCCAAAGAAGTCAATAAAAAGTAAAACATAATAACGTTATAACACAAACTTCTTATCGACGATAACTACTTACACTAGAGAAATTGAATAATGTTTACAAAAATTTAAAATATAACAAATTTGACTGGTGAAGTTTCGTTTCACAGGTTATAATAATACAACTTTATTATTTACTGTATTCAACCGCGTTAATCAGCTGAAAGAAAGCTTGAAGCAATGTGCGTGCGTACATACGTACGTATACTTGTTTGCTTGTTGCATTATTATTTGAAAGAAGGATTTCACGTGAGCTAATTAAATTCTCGTATTTAATATCATGTGAATTTATTGCATTCTAAATAGTATAACAATAATGATAGCATCTTTATAAGAACCTTTAGGTCTGACACATTAACCATACACATACGTACATGCGAGGCATAATTTTAAACGGAAAAAGTCTGTTTACGTAGAGGATCGTAAAAAATTTAGAAATAAAATAGTCATTTGTTCAATATTATTAGATACACGAGCATAGAATAAATATTGCGCTAATTTCTTCATTAATTTGAAATTTGATCTTATGTTTGCTCTAAACAAATACTGAAGTAGTAAAGATGTACGTTTAAAGATTAACGTTGTGTCACTGATCGCTATAGCATACTATGTTTCTAGACATAAAATCATTCTTTGAAAATCAGTCTTTACGTAATTTATTTTTTTTGCACGTAACACTTCCGTGCGTACAATAATACAAGCCTTTAGAGAAGTTCTTGTAATTTAATTTACGTGTTACACAGATTAGTAACATGCTGCCAAACAAAGCAATAATGACCATTCATATCAAGATGGTTATGTGATCGATGAAACTAATATTAATATAGTAATTTTGTGCCTAACCTTATCAATACGTAGCGTAACTGCTTTGATCGCGGGTTTCACCCTTTCGTATAATAAATACTAAATTTTGATTGGCCAATACGTACCTCAAAATTTTATTATGTTTTTAAATTTGTTTTTATATATATATACATGTGGTCAAATTTTTATTTAAATACTTTTAAAAGGTATATCGATATATCATTATTAAAATTTTAAAAAGCAATAACACTATTACTGTATTCATCTTACATTTAACACATATCATTTATTGTAAATATTAATTGGTAACTCGCTCTTATTCGAGACGAATTACCAGTTAATTAAATTTTTTTCATAGCCAATAAAAAGTATTCATTCTACATTTTGACATTTTACATCTCAAAAATTTAAGTCATCTACGATCTTTTTGAGCGGGTCGAGGTTTTTTTTTTCACTACGCATTTTTTTCTAAGATTTAGCCAACAAAGCTTAGAGACCCGCGAAAAACTAACAAATTGAACCCTTTACACTCGATGTTAGCAAAAAATCCCAATTAGAAAACCGCGAGAAACTGATAAATAAGACCTTTTACACGCGTATGACACACCAGTAAAATGAAATCACCATAATCATTCCATACTTCGGGTAAAAAAAAAAACTTCACGATCGTTCGAATTTCGTCGTTGGTAACTTTACATTTTCGATTTCTAAAAACGCAAAACAATAAGTACATGCGTCATTGCTATTAACAACTAAAGAGTTCCAGACATCAATAATTAGCATGTATCCTATTCACCATAGGTTCTCTAATCCAGAAATGACCCTTCGAGATTATGATCTACATAGTCTCGAAGGGTCATTAATCCTAATTAGAAAACCGCGAGCAACTAATAAATCAGACCTTTTACACCCGTATGGCAGCGTACCTTCAGATACACGATAACTCGACACATACCAGTAAAACGAACTTACCATATTCAAATAATCACTTGTTCCATACTTCGGGTAAAAGAAGTGAGCAACGAAGAAAGAAAAGTAAAAAAAAAAAGTAAAAGAAAAAGAAGAAAAAAAAAAGGAAGAAAAAAAAGGTAAAAGAAAAAAAGAGGAAAGGAAGAAAAGAAAAAAAGGAGGAAAAGGGAACGAACAATAATAAAATAGAAACTGAAAGAAAAAAAAAACCAAAAGAAAAGAAGAAAATCAAAAGAGTGACAAAAGCCGAGGGAAAAAAAAAGCTAATATATATATATTCGAAAAAAGACACGAATGAAAACGAATAAGATAAAAAAAGGGCGTGGGGAATTTTCTCACTTTTCGGAAATGAGGAGATATAAAAAAAAAACCAGTTTAAAACAAAGTGCGAGTGTCGGAGTTAATGTACTCACGTGCTGCTACGAGCACATGGAAAATTTTGATCCTCGTGCAAAAATAAAAAATTAGTTCGCCCTAGAGTTTGGAACCGGTTTTATTTTTCATATGTTAAACCCGGTTTTAATTGGTTTTAAATATGAAATATAAAACCTGTTCCAAACTCTAAGTTCGCCCTCTAATTTTGATACGATTTTGCACAAACCTTTTTTTACTACCATGTTTTGTTTTACACTAAAATTTTGATTATACAGGAAATGAACAATCACGTTATATAAAGTGGAGACTGTCCAAAATTAGTAAATGATTCCGGTTAGTGCCCGCAAAATTTTGGAAATTAATACAATATTCCTAAATTTTTAAAGAAAGTCTAAATCGCTTTTCATTATCAACTTTTCATAAAATTCTCAATTTTTATTTGATTAGAATAGAAGATTTGATCATTAAAAATTTTTCGAGATTATGAGCAAAGAAACTAGCAAAGGAGCAAGATATCCGGGCAGTCTCGTAGTAAGGGGCTGGCCTCATTTGGTGCAATTGACAACGATACAAAAAAAAATTACCTTTGATTGCCCACGTGAAGCTTAATTTATTATTAACGTTAATTTTTTTTTGTTCTAAAAAGCTAGACTTAAAAAATCGAGTACCGGATCAAAACGGTCGTATGAAAAGTACTGGCGACGATCTTTTTTTTTATCTGATATACGGCATTTTTACAGTACTATATAAAAAATTTAGTGATCATCTACTTAGTGTGACATGATTATTGCATAATTCTTACCTATTTATATTGAACCTTTATTAAAAAAAAAATGTCTCGCTCGTCATATGTAAGAAATAGTTTGAGTTGCGATTTGAAGAAAAGTGTAAATATACTAGGTGAGTTTTCACTGAGTTGATTGTGTTCGTTGTGTATTCCGAAGTTACTCTGCCACTATCGATGTAAAATATCTGGAATGAAAGCTCTTCGTGGCTAACAGTTTCGGCTGTTGAACGTTCTTCCAGTTACCGGTGTCTCGCAGTGTCGGCTAGAACGGGGATTTAATGGTGAATAGGGTACATAAACTAAGAATGAAAGCACCTCGTGGTCGATTTTTGATAATCAAACGTTCTTCTATAGTTGTAAACGAAAAAACACACTACTCATAACTATTTATTATTATAAAGTGAATAGGGTGTTACGAAAATGCGATTGAATTGCAAAGAATGAATATACTAGGTGAGTTTTCATTGAGTTGATTGTGTTCGTTGTGTATTCCGAAGTTACTCTGCCACTATCGGTGTAAAATATCTGGGATGAAAGCTCTTCGTGGCCAACAGTTTCGGCTGTTGAACGTTCTTCCAGTTATCGGTGTCTCGCGGTATCGTGCTGAACGGGGATTTAATGGTGAATAGGGTACATAAACTAAGAATGAAAGCACTTTGTGGCCGATTTTTTTGATAATCGAACGTTATTCTATAGTTGTAAACGAAAAAACACATTACTCATAACTATTTATTATTATAAAATAAATAGGGCGTTACGAAAATGAGATTGAAGTTGCAAAGAATGAAATAAAGAATTATCGATCATCAATAACTTTATTAATAAAGTGATCAATATTAATTTCGTGTCGAAGTTGTCTGATCAAAGATGGCAAATACAACAATAATCTCGTGTAATTACCTCATTCAAGGCGAGAACTAAAACGGAGGGTCGTGGATCAAATGTTGAGAATGTTAAAACTTAGAAATATTAAGGTTTAGATTTGGAGTATGTAGAATTTTATGTAATCCATATTCTGAAATTTTTAAACCCCTATCAAAATTATAATAAAAATAAATTTTCATGTAGTATTTATTTAGGCCACGCAATTTATAATTAATTTTTATATCATGAGATAGTGATCAATGACACGACCGCACGGCTTTTTTTTTTTAGAAAAAAATTTTTTTAATAAAAAACTATTAAAACTTATTGATCCAGATATATACGAAATTTTATGCAAAGATCAATTACCCGTGTTCTTATGTCGTTAATGATCAAGATAGTCTATAAATTTGATAAATTATCAATTTTCAACTTATGTTGCTTCAAAATTGACATGTCACTCGTTATGTCCTCTCGGGAAAATGGCTTTTGAGAACTTGAGTTACATATTGTATTGGTATTAAAACAAATGCAGTATTGTATCAGTATCAATAAAATCAATTATTTTTTAAACGAAAGTAAAAAATCGCGGCCAAGAATATACCGTATTTTCGCGTAATAATGCACAGGGTGTAATTTCAAATTTTGACCCAAATCAAGCTTAATTCGGGCCATTATTCGAAATAACGCTCATGAGCGTTATTACGCGAAAATACGGTATTTAAGGAATTTTGAAACAGAGTTGGGTATATTTAAAATTACAAGCTTGTAAATGTAGGTCTCAGAAAATTTTATTCTCTTAAGAATAAAGCACCGAACAAAAACTTTATAAAAATTTTCTTGGTTGTGTCAGAAGCACTTATTTTTGTTAATGGTTTAGATTATTTCGATTTTTGTTACTAGCAGAAAGAATTCTAAAAGTGCATTAATAAAATACTCTTAATAAAATAATTTGAATATTTTATTTTATTTTATTTTATTTTATTTTATTTTATTTTATTAT